TATCCTTTTACCTCCTAATTTTACTAAATCTAATATTATTATTCTAACTAATTATACATTTAATCAATGCAATACACCTACATCTATCTCTTATATTTATCTTTCGGACAGGATACACAAAACAAGGGTTCTATAACAAGCGGGTCTTTATACACCTGTCCCAAACTATGCCTTAACCTGTGAAGGTGTAAATGAGGCCCTGGCCTGGTATACTAAATACTAGATAGCTGAACCCAGGAGGTTTCTGGATGGCAGAATAGACCTATTTTAATAGGCGGTCCCTAAATCGGCCACTAGGCTCTAAACGGGTGTGAAATACTTCCCACTGTCCAATATCAGCAGCCACCCGACTCCACTAAGTAGGATCGGCAAGAACGGCCAACCCCGGACCAATGGTAACCCTCTGTATTCGCCTTACGGTTCTCGCCCCAGGCAGATTATGATATCCTCGGCTATCTCGAAAGCCTGAACATTTCTCAGCCATCAATCTAGAACCAAGTCTCCGTTCATACATACCCCCCGACCTTCGAATAACGCCCAGTACTATATACCGTCGCTATATATCACGCCGTTAACGTTGGCGTATGATCCTTTATTCCTTGCTTGGACCCGAAGGTTGCAACAAATCCACTGACCTGGCTCGCTGACCATCTATATAATTGTCTTGTTGAAGTTGTATTCTGCCAGTGGCAGGGCAAGCAATCACAGACGCTTTCCCTTTTCTTCCTCCCACTGCGTTTCTATCCTCCCTAGCACCCACATTACTTGCCACTTCTGACATCATGTCCTTTTCTAACCTTGTCTCTGATCTCGCCTTCAGAGACACACACGATGACCGAAGTTCTCAGATATCCCATGTACGATCGCAAGCCACGGCACGATCGTATACAAGCACAGCTGCCACAAGTGTCAGCATATCTGGTGACATCTCCAGCCAGCTTCATTCCGGTTACAGCCATCCACTGAGCAGGTCATGGCAGGCAGAAAGACAGTTGACCAAGGTCCGCATTTTCTTCCATATTTCCTGAGCTGCTCTAACCGCAAGATAGGAAATGCTTATCTATCCTCTCTTCATCACCGATAATCCTGATGAGGAGACTCCCATTCCGTCTCTTCCTGGCCAGTATCGTCGAGGATTAAACCGTCTAGCTCCTTTCATCAAGCCACTTGTTCATAAGGGGCTACGCTCGGTTATCCTGTTTGGTGTCCCACTACACCCCTCTGCGAAGGATGCACTAGGTACTGCTGCAGACGACCCATCTGGACCGGTAATCCAAGCTATTCGCCTGCTTAGGTCGCGGTTTCCTCAACTTTACATCGTCACAGATGTGTGCCTTTGCGAGTATACTTCACATGGCCACTGTGGGATTTTGCGAGAAGATGGGACTCTTGACAACACACAGTCTGTGGATCGAATCTCGGATGTTGCTCTGGCCTATGCTGCTGCCGGGGCTCATTGTGTCGCTCCGTCTGATATGAATGATGGGCGAGTGCGTGCTATCAAACTGAAGCTTATTGAAGCCGGCATGGCCCACCGCGTCCTTTTGATGTCGTACAGCGCCAAATTTAGTGGGTGTCTGTACGGCCCCTTTCGTGATGCAGCGGGGTCCTGTCCATCATTTGGGGATCGCAGATGCTACCAGTTACCGCCCGGTGGTCGTGGACTTGCTCGTCGTGCTATACAGAGAGATATAGGTGAAGGGGCAGACATCATAATGGTAAAGCCGGCGAGCAGCTACCTGGACATTATCAGAGACGCAAAAGAACTCTCCAAAGACATTCCGATTGCCGCTTACCAAGTCAGCGGTGAGTATGCTATGATACACGCTGGCGCTAAGGCGGGCGTATTTGACTTGAAATCAATGGCCTTTGAAAGCACTGAAGGGATTATAAGGGCTGGTGCCGGAATTATAGTAAGCTATTTCGTGCCTGACTTTTTAGATTGGCTTTAGACATGACTTAGCCGGATGAAGTGTGTTGAAAGCACCCACTAGATGGATAGCAGTGACGATCGCGTTTGAATCGTAACTATTGGAGCAGAAGTGCCCAATATCTTGTTAGGAGTTTCTAAGTTAACTGTTTAACTTAATGTCATGCCATATATATGGCTTAATTGTTCTCACAAAAGATGCACAAGCTGAAGGTGTCAAGTGGCCACTTTATATAAATACAAGTATACCAATTCTTCCAAAACATGCGGGTAAAAAGAGTAGATGGATGAGCAGGATGAATCATCAATTATATACTAAGATGGCCGGAATTGTGACATGAAATCTCGTAGCATGAACCATATGTCCTGAACCGGTCAGAATTCTGGTCTGAGAAGAAGATAAACGTTAACGAAAAGCCCTGAAAATGAAAAGATGGGTCAAGCAAATGGATGTAAAAGAATACTTTACAAAACGCCGATGATAAGTGGTGAGTGTATGATCAACACATGCAGCTGCGAAAACCATAACCCCTGACAATAGCATAAACCACGAAATACAAGCGACTCCATATGAATGCGGTGCGATAAAGGGTTTCTCACATGTAGCTAGGTTTAAGACCCTGAAACCCATAAGCTACGATGTCAGATTTGACAACTTCACCCGGTGCCACATAAGCTCCACGTCGAAGGCGAACACCAGGATAAATTGTACAGCCAGCGCCGACGTAGCAATCCTCTTCAATTGTAACCGGCCGTCCTTGATAACGGCTTTGAGACCCTTTACGTTCCTGCATATTTGCATGGGCCATTGAACTGAGAATAGTCACCCTAGGGCCAATCCACGTGTGGGCACCGATAGTGATAGGACAATCATCCACAAATAAACAGCTCTCAGATATCATCACGTCCTCGCCAATATGAACGTTATATCCGTAGTGGCACTGGAAGGGCGCTTCAACAACCGCGCCTTGCCCGATGGAACCCGTCGGCCGAGGGAGGTGACACCTGAGGGTGAGCCCACTGCTGAAGCAGGTGGTACTAATATTTCTTTCAGAAGGCGGTTTTGTTCTTTATTGCTCAGACCAGAAACGGGATTGCAGGCATTGTTGAACCGCCACAACGCGGCTTTACAGCGCTCTCTCTCTTCCACAAGATGAATATCGAAGGGCCGATAAAGTTCACCGCGTATCATTTTATCCTTTTCTGTCTCTTCACCGGGAACCGTGCGCGCAGACAACTGATGTTCAATGCTCAGGGCCATTCGCGCTTGGGCCTGTGGACTGCTAGTGTCCACATTGGTAGCAAGAGCTGGCCGCTGGTCAATTCCACCTTGGAAAAGCGAGACCCCTGGTTTCCCATGGGCGGTACCATGTGACAGCTCCCGAATCGGTGGCACAATTTGATAATCTGTCTTCGGGTGACCCTCGCGGGGTAGCTCATGGATAGATGGTACATCTCGGTAATCAGACTTTGTAATATGGTCAGTGATATAAGCAGTGTGGCCTGTATTCGGCCAGGACCGTTTGGACCATGACCCACGGCTGGAACCAACGCCTGTTGGGCTTGAGTTGTTGAACTGTGTGGTGGTACGGTCGCTATCGTCTACAATAATTGACCGCATCTTCCCTGCCTCGAGTTGTTCAGTCAAACTTTGTTGTCGATCATGTTGTTGGCTAATTTCATGTACGTATTGACTGCCAACGTCCGTATAGCCATCCTTTGATTGTAAAGGAACTGGTGTTTTGCCACTTGACGGCTTCTGCCATGTACTCCGTGAGGAGTAGCCCTCGCAGAGAAAACCACCTCTGATGCAATTATTACCTGCACTGGAGTTAGATTGCTGCGCGACCGCAATGAACAAAATTGTTGCCCAGTTTAACAGAGCTGCTCAACAAGGAACTTACATGCAGGGTGTTGTTCGTCACATTTTTTCTTTCTTCTTCGGCATGTCATACACCCAGTTTTGGTCCTGTTGCTGAAAACGCGTTTTCTCTTTGGCGCAACTTGTACAGCAGGTTGCGGCCGCTCCTGAGCAAACCCAGCCAACGCTGATGAAGACTGCTCATTCTGTGTGGTACCCTCCAGTGAACGACTAACCGTAGTCCAGCTCTTCTGAGTTACATCATGCCCCTGAGCCTCACGTTGGAGTGCCTCTGCTAATTGAGCATCTGATGCATCGATCTGTTGCGCACGTTGTGCTTGGCTGACCAACTGGGCATCATACTCATGCCAAGTAGTATTTGCTGAGGTTCGTGAGTCATCGCTCCCCTCTGGCCTTGCATGCATTAAGGGGGACGTGTTCTTAAAGTCCTGGTCAGCCTGGGACGTCGTGCTTCCGTTGGATGTACATGGGCGCGCATTTGGATTTGTGGTGTCGTCCAGGTAAGAGGCTGGGCTTTTCGGAGCTCTGGGAGTGGAATGAGCTTCGTCTACATGCTCACCAGATCCTGACCTCTTTCGTTTGCTTTTGCCTGTAACCGACACTGCACCATGTGAGGACGATCGTTGTGACCGTCGATCTTCTTGGTCGTTCTTGATGCTTCCGCCCTCCCGCATTCGTTCCTCGTGCCGATGTATTGTATCATCGTGACCGCTCTTTCCACAATGCTCAGAGGATTCTCGTGAGTCTTCCGTTGCCGCACCAGGGACAGCGGGAACAGACGTCGATGTCGCAGATATCACGGAGTCCTTCCCATTCACGGCTGTAAATCGAGAGGGACTGTGGTCTGTTCTAGAACCTTCTGATTCGTGGTCGTTGATCATTGAGGCGGATGTGACGGCAGTCATATTGCAAGCGACTGTAGCAGTAGTAGTAGTAATAGTAGTAGTCCAGCTACAACTGATAGGTACGGCCCCTTGGTATAAAGCCTTCAAGTTCCACCACCTAGTTTCCAGCGCGCAGTGGAGGGTTATCTTTATTATTCTCTTGCAGTCCCTTGTGAGCGCAGCGGTATTTTCAACTAGTGTCACACAAGAGGAATGCGGTCAACTAAATCGTCGCCAAAGGAGTACTATTCCACCTTGCGCGCCGTCAACTAGAACTAGAACTGGAAAAAGTTGCATCAATCGAGGATGGAGAGGCAACCCTGCGCGCAGGTTCACTCTTCGGATGCAATGGAGGAAAAAAGATATAAAGGACCAAATTTAACCGCAAGGTTTTTTTTTTTTTTTTTTGACTCAATAATGTATTGATTGTCCTGTACGGCTATCCTGAGGCCATGCACCAGGTGAGGTTCAAGATAAGCTCAGTAGGGCTGTTCCGTAGGTATCGTTCAAGTAGGAGATAGCAATCAGCAAGCCGAATCGGGATATGGAAGGCACCAGGTAGGGGATCAACCTCAGCGTTAAAAAAAAGCGCAAAGAGAGATATCGGTACGAATGATAACGCTTGCTTCTGGAGTGGGTAGGTTGAGTTGACGGGGAAAGAAGCATTCAATGATGAGAATTTATGGGATACAAAAATCTACAACGATGAGCATATACAGTCCATAGGACGAGAGGAAGGGGCGGTAGTAATGACAGTACAAGACGGTAGAGGAGAGAAATGTGGCGGCTGTGGTGATTGATTGTTGGTGTAAGAATGCAAAAACACAAGCTGGATAGAATAATGCATCTACCCCT